TGGACGTGGATTGCAATAAAATTTCAAACCTATACACATTATATCATTACAGGCTATATTTCTTAGGATATGTACAAAATTTTTAAGTTGATATTTCACTGAACAGGCCGACGTGTAATAGATCGGTACAAACACTTTTTTCATAGTAATTTTTTACAAGGTTAGGATCAGGCAGACTGAACAAGTTTTAAAGAATATATATAAAATCAAAGGAAAATACCGAATATGTCTTGTATTGTTGATTTTTACGCATGCTGTTTTACAATTTGTCTTCTATATCTTCAGTAATTTTGAGGTCACTCGAAATTATTGTTTCATTTTTAACATAAGAATGTACTTTAGAATTCCAATTTACTTAAACGTGCAGAATACCTTTATTTTCTGATCAATTTTTATAACTGATCCAGAAATAATTGCAGGTTCATTTTGTTCTTGGATAAATGGATAACTTTTTTCCTCTCTACTCGGCGTGAGAAGATATGCGCGCCAATGAAAGTTAATCAAAGATAAACTGACAACAATATGAAACAGAGATGAGAGTAATGCGACTTTCACTTGTTATCCGCTTTACGTGAAGAAAATATAATTGCGTTATTTCAATTCGGACAAAATTTGATGCAATCTTGATCAATATAGGACGAAAAGTCTCGGTTATCAAAAATGACAAACAAAATCAATAGCTAATGGGTTGTTTTGTTTTTTCATTTTCAATATCTATTTATCTGAAAATCTAAAGAGGAGATACCATTTTATTAAAATGATAATTGAATTGAAATAGACGACATGATGTGTTTTCATTACACCACTCGTCTAATTTTAATTTAACAGCAGACAAATCATCCCAAAATAAAATATTATTGCTATTCAAGCCGGGACCAAACAAGAATTGGCTAGATTTAATGTTTCCCTATGGCAAAATCATACCAGATGAACCAGATATTAATTAGAGCGAAAAAAATATAAGTATACTTGAAACGCTTCTGTATTGTGTTCTATTAATATCATTAAGGGATATTACAATTTGTTATTTTATCATTTTATATTTAGTTTTATGGGAAAATGATCTTCAACTTTTCCAAACAAACCAACATATACCATTTGTAACCTTTCAAAACCATATACCCCTTTCCAACTAATGATAACAAAAATGCAAGTCTTTGAAGTTTTCTGTCTCTAATGCGACTGAATATTGATAAGCAGACATTGGATTGTCACCCCACAGGTGTAGGTAATCCTCAGAATTCTTGGTAGGGATGTGCCCCCCTCCTCCCCGCGGGGGTGCCAAGGCCAGTGGAGAGTGTTGTAAGGTCTATGCCGAACATCCCCGCACTATACCGGTAACACTGTCTTGTAGCCTTGGTAACAGAAAACGGAAAGTTTGACTTCTCGAGGCTTTCAGTTCATATTTTCAAAGTTAGCACGGAAAATTATGTTGAACATGGCATGCAGTTGTTGCTGTTAAAAACGATTTGAACGCTTCTCAGAGACGTAAGGGGGGACATTACACAACGAGATACAACTAATATTTGCATGGCGTTTCAATGTGAAGCGAGAAAATCAGTTTTAAATTATTTTCATTTGGAGCGAGAAAAAAATTACAAAAACCTGCATTATTTCAAATTAAAAGATAGCAAACTTTGTGTCCTTGTATCACAAACTACATCTTACATGAACTTATTTTCACCATTGTGTTCAAAACTAAAATCTAAATGGCTGTGAAAAAAATGTTTGTGTCAGTTAGTTTAGGGGAAAAATGATGAAATATGTTTGTCTTTGTTTTAACATAACTAATTTACCTTTGTACTCAACTATACGCATTATCTTTGAGTGGTCCTGAAAATCTTCGCAATGAATAGAACTTCCGTAATAACGCTTGGCTTTTAACTTGGAATCAAATATTAGTTCGTATAAAAGCCATTCTTCGTCTTCAATTTTCAAAAGAGATCATGTTACGCGCGTCCTTTACTTTTCCGGCTGTGAATTACAATTGATTTTTTTTACCATCCATCTTTCAAATATACACACTACCTCCGAGTCATATACTTATAAATTAACAAAGATTTCGCGTCGACCGCTACAGGGGCGGCTAGGTTTAGGCGACCTAATTATTTTTAAATGACAAAATATATATCATTTCCAATGATGGTGATATTTGGCAATTTCTCAGTCACGTATTTCGTTTTTTCCATTACTATTGCAGAACGACTACTCAGTTTTTTGTTTGGCATAACCACAGCAGGGAGCAAACAAAACTTATTTTGTGTTTCTGACAAGCAGTGCATCATAAAAGAGTTGTGAACTGTTGATTTTCAACTGTGATTAAAATTCAGATCCGCCAGGTGAACTGATTCGGACATAATAAACAAATTGTCAATGACGAACAAGGGACCATTCTCCGCGAGATACTCTCTGAAAATTAGTTCAAAACCTGATGATTTAAACTAGCCGAAAATGTACGAAATGTAAAACATCGCTACCAACCTTTGTCTTTCATTCTCTCACCTTATATTTCGCGGAAACTACGAGTGATTCCTCACGGATTACCATTATCATTCTCAAGTTTGACGCATTCAACAAAGATTTTAATTCTACTGGTGCGAAAAACCAAAACAGGACGTTACATATACGACTTACGCACCTCATAATAAAACTCTCGAGATATTATTTTCTCCAGTACAGTCCTAAAATTAAAACCATGCTTTACAAATAGATCCATCCGGGCAGTTTCCATCAATTGGTTTTAATCTTTCATAAAAATTTCATCGTTTCTTAAAAATTTTGCGTTTCGGTGCAGTGAGATGAAATCTATTTTGAGTAGATTTGCACGGTATCAAAGCCTTAAGATTTTAGTTATTGACACTTTTTGAAAGGAAAACTGGCAACAAAACCGACCGGAAAATAAGCGTCATAAAAGATCCTTCCCAAAAACACAAGAGAACCATGATTCGCGAGCACCTTTTCTTGATTATCGTTCTTTGGAGGGATTATATGAACCCCTTTACAGACAGACAGTAATAAGGAAATAAAGAGTGTATGTACTCACCCACCACGTCTAAGGAATATGCAACTGTGCAAAGAAAAGCTCAAAATGAAATGTTTCCCAAACACGACGGCTCTCCTGCAGGGGACATGATGTATTGAAGTTTTTCAATTCACACACGAGCTTGTTTCAATCGCAGGCCGGATGGATGAACACGATAAACAATTTATTGCGCTGGTTTGACGGTGAACGTAATAATTTTTCAATAAGCCCTATAGGATCTGAGCTGCCAGAATTGCTCTGTATACGGATATTAAGCTTCCTATTCACAAAATAACCGCCTTAATGATGTAAGATGGAAGCTTCAGTGTCAAAATCAGTCCAGGACGACAGAAGAAAGTTTTTCCCGTAAATGAAAGCTCAAGTTGAGTGAAGAGTGTCAAGTTTCTTCACATTTATTCCAAGATTATTTAAACCATTGTATTCAAATTCATCTGCCCTCGAATATTAAGGGGTTATCATACTTAACTTAAAAAAAAAAAATCAGAGATCGCATTTCCCCGACATGAATGAAAAAAGAAGACATAGTGCTACTTAACATCATTTTTAAGATGTCTACAATTATTTTTGTTTTATCGAAATCAATTGTGAAAATAAATACAATTCTAAAAAAGGGACAGCCGCCTCTAGTCAGTTATTAAAATGGAAGATTTGCTGTAGCTTCTAATCTGCGGTACTGTTCAATTTCATGAAATATTATAATGACAAAAGAATTCCGAGTACATCACATTGCTCATTCAAACAAAATGCAAATGATGTTCGGTCAGTAAAATGAAGTCTTGACTTTCGTCACTGCGAAAAAATGCAATCCACGTTTCTCAAAGATACACTCGGCTTTTAATTTGCGGTTTTAAAAGATAGCAAAATTATTTCATTATCAATAAGAAAGAGAACTGAAACTTTTGATCCTGTTTTAGAGTATTCCATACCAAATCAGAATTTCACAACCATGCCAGAACTTGTCCAGTGTGGTTTCCCACGAGTAAAAATCAGAAGCGTTATACTTCTTTTAAGTATCGAAAGATTTTCTTTAACTCTTTAACTGGTTATTCAACCAGTCAACATAGTCGTGAGAGTTCGAAGAAGTGAAAAAAGAAATAAATGTGGATGGGGGGGGGGACATAAACCTGTTCCATGCGCTCAGTTAGGGCCTGTCTGCATGGATGTGAGGGACCCCAGGTAGGTAAGGTAACCCTCCTAGCCGTGGTCGAAAAATGGCACGCGTTTACATACAATCCTACAACCTCAGGATGCCACGGTGAAGTTAAGGAGTTGAAGATGTCACTACGGCGACGTGTGGAAAAACGTTGCCGAAAAAACGTCATTTCTTTTCTTCTAAGATTTTCGCCAATAGCTCGATGTGTTAACCGTTTCTGACGGTACAACGTCTTCACTTTTGTACAACATGTGAATGTATAGTTGAGTTCAATGTAAAAACGTGACTAAATCGCTGTCGAGGTTTCGGTGCTAACAGGACGTAAAAATTGGTGTTTCAACGTTTAAGCTTTGCATGGGACGGCTAGAAAATGTACGAAAAATTTAACACACTCGTATTTTGTTATTTTTTTTCTCATTTGATGTTAGTGTAACACGAACGCCTCCCCGGCTGACAGGGTTACCCTACCCATCAGACCGGGCAACCCGCCTAGGTGGGTCACCCCACCTATCACGTAAACATGCTCAGGATAAAATGAGAGATTATATGGACAGGCGGGTTACCTCACCTTCCTGGGGTCACCCACCTCCATGTAAACAGGTCCTTAATAAAACAAGGTGCGATAGTAACCAGCGCGACAGTAAAAAACGCGTTATTTTCTCGACTCGACTCAACCCTCTCTCGTTTTTCGCCCTTCCGTTACTTTTGCGCCGTTTAACATCGTGTTCCGTTTTACTAACTGAATGCCTGGCACAGGTTAGGTTTTAAAAATCGAACACAAAGAAAGATACAACACAAATTTTTGGGTTGTTGCCTCTGGCGCTGAGTATTGTTCTTAATCAGAATGAAACCTTACATTAGTAGTTTTACACAAAAACACCGAAAAGGAAGGTAAACTAAAAAGTTTTAAGGATTGGCCAAGGATGGGCCAAGGATGGGCCAAGGATGGGCCAACGATAGAGAAGAATGACACCGATCGATCATAGTGAACTCCGATTGCTCTAGATGATAAACGGTCACGTATCTCATTTAATCGTCTCCTTCACCATAGTCATCAAAAATATCGTACGCCTCAATATCATCGTCCTGTTCAAGCATTTGCAAGTAGTTTTGAACGCCTTCGTGTCCTGCCCACTCCTCTCCTATGAGTTCTAATTGAGAAGCCGATGCCTCCGTTCCGTCCCCCAGCTGTTCCTGTTTAAGTCTCTCAGCTAGTTCAGTAGTCCGTTGGTAAAGAATGGATCTGATCTGATCACTTGTGCCTGGTAAACACCAACCATCACGCTCGTGACACTCCTCTTCCTAGAGAACAAATAAAAAAAACCATCTTTTCACAAACGTTACCACTTAAAAACACGCACGCGGAAGAATACACACACATGCACCTTTTGCAGTAGCCAATTTTAACTAATTATGAAATTAAAAGGAATTTTTGCAGCTGAAGAACCTGGTAAGAACAAAGTAGAATCAGACTAAAACCTTTAAAATTCTTAGTTTGCAAATGATAAAAATGACTAGTGAAGTACACCATATTCAACGAGTGGAGAATTTGTGACGATTCGCTCCTTACAAAGTAACTACCATGAAACAATTAGTATGAGAAAGTGAAACCTGAAAAAATAACTAAGGTGTCAACACGGCTTGTACTTCTACCTTACAGATACCTGTGGGGTGCTATCATCAACAAACACAGTTCTTAGTTTACAGTCCTAAATCTACTTGAAGAACCATGCATTCCTTTCCAAGTTTAATACATGTATGGAACACATGCCAAATATGTAAATAGAATGCAGAAAAAGACATCACAATGTATATTGTAGTAATTTACCTGGCCATCATTTCTGCTGAGGAGTCTTTGAATCTCTGGGTCATGAAGGTCACATACTTGATAAAACAGCTGTTTCTGTATCGGCATTTTGTTAGGAGTAAAGACATATGGTAAATCTGGTTCTTGATTTTGCTTCTCCTCTGCTTTTTTCTCACTGTCCACCATAACAACTTCTTTAGCCAAAGTTCCCTGCACGCTGTTAGTTCTTCTGACCAAATTTGGAAGAACATATTTGCTTAAACTCCTCTTTGCTTTGATTGGAAGATTTTTAGCCCCTTTCCTGCTACCAACACGGAAATCAAGCATCTGATAACTGTTAGAGGCAAAAATTTTAGACATGGAAAACAAAATAAAGTTTTAATAACATTTTCAATAAGTCTGCAAACTTACTTATGAAGTTCAACATATTCATATTTCTATCCTCATTGTTAAAACAAACTTTTGTTGAAATTGTTCTTGAGAAATGTTATTTGATGAGATTATCAGGAAGTTAGCAACTACTGGTAGTTCAAATTGACTGAAACTGATATCTGCCATTTGAACCCAGAATGTCGTGCAGACCACCATTTTGGGTTGCCCTCTTGTGGGAATCTCTCAACACTGGAAATGTTGTGCAATAATGATAAACAAACTCTACTGCCCATCATTGAATGAAAAAAGAAAAACAAGGAAGACGTAGTAAATTTTTATCACATTTTTTGTTCTTATATATATATTCTTTAAGTTTGCACTTTTTTGTTTTCGCTCTTCTCTGACAAATAAAATACTAGTATATTCAAATACTAGTATATTCAAATTTCTGCATGAAAATATCTGAGTGTGCATAATTTACTGCATCACCTAGAGACAACTATTCAGCTGAATTGTTTATGCAAATTTAACTTACATTTTGGCACTGGGGTCTTTCCGTGGATCATATCCAATTCGCGTCCACAAAGTCCTCCATGGTCCATTAAGCCAATAATAAGCTGTGCAGGCCAGCAGTTGTTTTAGTCTTTCTTGTGATGCACTTGTTATGTGGCATTGTAATGCTGAGCGGGACCAAATAGGCCTGTTGGCAAACAGTTTCTTTGTGACATCCACAAGACCATCTTTTGGCCGATTTGCAATTTCTTCTGCTTTAGGATTTGCAGCAGTGGGAACTTCAGGGGTATTAAAATTGATGGCAATTGCATAAACTGGTCTTCTACTTCTCGCTCTTGTTCCAACCAAGCTGGAAACCAGGTAATAACAATTTTAAAGAATGCTAGCTACTTTCAGTAGTGATTGACAAGAGCACAAAACAAAATCAAACAAACAAAACGAAATCAAAGACAAGAATATTTACTGGAAACCAGGAGTTTTATAGATCTGTTTTGAATATCTTTACTCCCCAGGCCTCAAAAGTAATTCCCCCTTACTACCTGCCCTTCATTTCCTACAAAACCAGTTCAATGAATTTGTTGTTGTGTAAGATAATACCCCCTTGCTTGATATTTTTCTTAATTCTTGTCACATTATAGTTTTTTGGTAATGTGAGGAGAAGTTGTTTCCTGATCACTTATCAATCTTTGTGGTGAAAGGGTTTCTTAAAGTCAAGTTTATTTGTGTAAGTAGGTAAGCCTTTATACAGGCCTAGTGGCCCATGGGCACGGCACTTAACTCCGGTTTCATTAGCATGAAGCAGCTAGGAGTATTGCTACTCCCCCGTGGATGGGATACTAGTCCATCGCAGGGTTACCCTCAGCATATTTGCTGGTACCCATTTGTACACTTGGGTGAAGAGAAGCACTGTGAGAGTTAAGTGTCTTGCCTAAGAACACAACACAATGACCCTGGCCAGGACTTGAACCCAGACCACTCAATCTGGAGTCAAGCGCGCTAACCATGAGGCCACCGTGCCTCCATGAAGTTTATTTGTATTTCCCTTGAAATATTTTCAGGTTAAGATTAAGATCACAAAATGTCTGCCTCTACCTTTCTTCATCCTTTTCATTTCCTTGATCAGTTTTATTGCCTCGTGGTGCAGACTCGGCATTGTAGTTGTAGTTTATTGGATGATCAAACCTTGTAAACACTGGAGGTTGTAAATGATAAGGGACATCTTGATTTAATACAGCTCCATCAGTGACTTGTTTCAAGACATCAGGCAAGTCAGGAACAAGGTATTGAAAATCAGCCATAACTTCAAACCTAAAAATAAACAGGTACTAGATGTAACATAAAAAGAGCTTGTTTCTGTGGAACTTATATACCACTAACTTTCAGCACCAAACCCAAGTATAACATTATACCTATCAATCAACTGTTGAACCTAAGAATTTCAAATGTTACTAATATACTGTGGTTCAGAACCTTTTCATGAGGCTGAGTTAATCTGTAGTCCAAAGAGTACTAAAAGTTGCACATTAAAAGCAACTAGATTGCCAAGCAGTATTAGCATGTGGTTTTCCTTAAGACTGACCCAAGTCAGCAGGAGTTTTAGGGAGGTGTTGTGTTGTGAGTTGGCAGGTATACATTGCCACATTCAAGCTGAATTTTTAGAACAAAAAACATTCTGGATCTTTCTGTGGCTTTTTGGAAGATTTCAAACAACTCACAAGAAGAGACATGAAACACCTTGAGATCTTTTTCCCCTTTAATTTAAGCAAGTCTTGATAAAAATGATTGATATGGCTTATCATATACCACATTTCCAGAAAAAAGATTTTGAGTTTCCAAGAACAAACTGACTCAGATTTCCGTAACCAGTAACCAAATGTCCTTTCTGAGGACTTTTGTGAAACTCAAGTAGCAGCTTTGCATGTCAACAAATGGAAGATTTTGCTGAGAAATAAAATGATCAGTTCAGCAAGTGTTACAAATTAAGGGGATTAAATTTAATGATCATTTTCTGAAGTTTAACATGGACAAATCCATTTGAAGCCATTTTATCCTGAATTGCTTTATGTTATTCTCTGGTGAGTGCTTTACTGAGATAGCCACCTACTTCAAATCTTATTGAAAGCACTGATAAATTTAAGGTATTATAAAATGGTTCATCAGTTTTTACAGTCTGTCATTGGAATTACCATATGGTTATAGGAATAATTAAACTTAAGTATTGTCTTTTGGCAGACAGTTATGATGGCAGGTATCCACCCTTCTCTCTATCTAGGCCAATGGAATTGCCAACAAAGATCACCCTTTACAGGAGTGGCAGGGCAGGAAGAAGAAGAAGGAGGGAGTGGAACATGGAACACTAACACACCAAGTCTTACCAAATGAGAAACTAAAGTATCCTAAGGTTGATAAATATTAATACCAAGTACATAGAGTATTTTTGTATAGAAACTAGTGTCTTCATGCCTAATACTAAAAATTCATGATGCAAGAGATAATTTTCACCATTAGGGTGATAAGAAAATATTACTTGTAAAACCTATACCTAAGAGAAAAACAAGACCCAAGAGCCTATGGGACTACAGGTCTGTTTTAGAATAGTATGGCAGGGTTATACAGAAATCTTTCAGTGTTTCCTTACCCGGTAATTTTAACCTTGGTCAAACGTACCTACGGTGGAATCCTTGTAATTAAGAATTCAGTAGGGAATTAACTATCTCTTCTTCACAAAACAATAAGTGATTAACAGCACCATATCCAAATTATTTGGTAGTTAAATTCAACCCAGATTCCGTTTTCCTAACACCGCTTTCCCATATTGGCAAAGTGTATACCATACATTATCAAGTTGATATACACTTACTTGAATGAATTTCCAACTATCCCCAATATCTCCTGTTCATATTTCACTACTTCCGTCTCACCGTTTCCTCGTTGTTGCTTTTTCTTTCGCCGTTTCACTCTCAGTAGTAAGTTTGCAGTAGCATATCGATCACCACACAATGAATGAGCGTAAGGATCTTCAGGACGAAATGACAATTCTAATCGTCGCGTAGGAATTGAGTAAGTCCTTGACACTGCTTCCTCACCTCCTAGGGTTTCAAGCATGTGATTTTCATCTTTTATAAAACCTGGATATTCTATTCCGACGAATTTGACTTGATTTACTGTGATCTGCCCATTGTTTGAGGAAGAAAGATCTCCAGTTGCAGGGTTCTCTGAGATTCTTACGCTTTCCGCCATTTTGTTTGTTCTCAAACTCTCAACCGCTGATTATAAATACTGGGGACGTAGATGAATTTTAAGAAATAAATTTTAAGAGGAGGCGGGGGAGGGTTGGGAAAGCCGGGATAGGGAATGTGTTCGTTTTAGTAACATTTGAAAGCTTCAATATGTTTGGAAATTTATTTAAGCAGTACTATATGATTTATAAGACGATTCTATGCAATCAAAAGAAGATCAGTCAATTGCAGTTAACAAATTATTTCACTTCGGTCCAAAACCAACAAACATAGCTTACCCCTCCCCTACCGGTGTTTTATATTACTACCAGTCAGCGGTCTAAATCAACATGGCGGTCGAGAAGTGCCTTGAAACATGTGCCTTGAGTTACAAAGTTATAGCAGAATGCTCCACAACCAAGGCTCGAACTGCTATTCTAACTTTGCCACATTATGAAGTAGAAACTCCAGTATTTATGCCTGTAGGAACTCAGGGAACAATGAAGGGTTTGACCTCTAAACAACTCACAGAGCTGGACTGTCAGATTATTCTTGGGAACACGTACCATCTTGGAATGAGACCGGTAGAGAGAACAAGAGATCAGGAGCATTTTAATTGCATTATTATACGGTTCTAGCTCTTGAAAATCAGTTCATGAGATAAATTTTAACACACAGGGCACAGAGATATTAGAAAAAGCCGGGGGACTACATGGATTTATGAATTGGAAGAGAGCCTTATTAACGGTAAGTTGCCTGCCAAAATATTAATATTGCCTGAGTCGAAACACGCTTTAAAGAGAAAAGAACAGTAATTTTTCCGAGTGTTTAACAAATTATTATTTACTTGTTTCCAACATAAAGGACAGTGGTGGATTTCAGATGGTATCTTTATTGAAATTAGCTGAAATTACTGAGGTAAGCCACTCCGGTCTTGCACCCCTTTTTACTTCTGTTTCTCCTTTACTCATTTTCGCACAAGTGTTCTCCTTGTCAAATTTAAACATTGTCACTGAAATTTCTTCCCAGCCAACAATTTTTCTTGGACTTACCATCTGAAGTTGGTCAGTACAAAATGCAGACTGCAGACTGTAGACCAGGTACAAAATGCAGACTAGGTAAAAAATGCAGACTGAGAATTTAAACTGTTTTTTCTGTCTGATACATGATAAAATGGCATCTCACAACTTGCCAAGTGTCACAGAATTGTTTTTCAAGGAACAACTTTCACAATCATTTGCACTATTACAAGTGGAATTTTGTAACATGGTACATACACTGATTTTTACATAGTAATATTTGTGTAGTCATCAAACAGATGAGAGATAAACAAATGGCCCATCAATCAGTGTGTGTACACCCCTGAATTTTGAAAATAAACCAAGTTGAAGAAACAGTTTTGATCTTGGTCTGCATTTTTGTCATCAAGATGAACACATATTGGTTAAAAAGATGACAAGTATGGAACGCATACAAAACTTTCAATTGTTTCTCAAAAATTGTGCCTGTTAATTATTCAATTCTGACATCTTGCATGTGAAGTGAAAAGACTATATGAACACTTGAAATTCTATTAAGAACAATTGTGGCTGCTTAGTGAAAAACTGAAAACAACAGCCACTTTGTTATAAAACAAAATATGCAAGGAAAAAGGCAAGGAATATTCCATAATAGTGCAAATGATTGTGAAAGGTGATCGTGGAAAAGGGATTGTGTGACACTTGGTAAGTTGTAAGATGACATATTATTACATATCAGACAAAAAAACAGTTTAAATTCTCAGTGTGTACTTTGCAACCAGTCTGCATTTTGTATGCAGTCTTCATTTTGTACTGACTGCATCTGAAGTAGAAGAAGGAACAAATTGAGCTGATTGAAATACCTCAAATAAAGAGAAAAATCTGAACCCCCCATAAATGGAGACGGATTTTACCAGTAAAGATTTATATGTGCGCACAGAGATTCCTTTTATTTCTTTTTCAAAGGAAGGTGTTAAGTTCCAGTCTCCCCATGATGGTAAAGAAATGCTACTTACCCCTGAGAAGTCAACTGAGATCCAGAATTCCATAGGAGCTGATATCATAATGCAGCTGGATGATGTGGTCAGCAGCACTACAACAGGTAACCTGAATCAGTATGGCAACCTTGGCAATCTGCTTACAATCTCTTTCAAAGATTTGTCATTTTCAGCCTGACTGTTCAATGGCAAATATAGCAGATACTTAATATGCTCATAACTGAGCTATCTTTAATGAAAATGTATCTAAGAGTATGAATAAGAATGAAATGGAAGTGGAGTTGATGCACAGTGGTAAATGTTATCCTGCAACCAGTGACAACTAGAGGATCAGACCTTTTGAATCATAATTACGAATATTTTTGTGAAGCCCCTGTAGATGATTCCAGTAACAATAGCATCAATAAGAGATGTTGTTTGTACCAGGAAGGTAAATAGATTGGCCTGCTAGTTGGTATGGTAGGGTTATTACTCGTTAGGTCAACTTTTTACAAACATCTTTGCTTTACTCAAATCTTCAAAAAGGAGAGAAATGAGAGAAAACTTATAGGATCCTATATTTCAACCATGAACTAAATTCTGTTCATTTTACCATTGAATCATTAAGACAGATCAAATAAATACAGATTGAACAATATTTATCCTGATGCCAAAATGAACTAGTGACCCCAGATTTGGACAAGAGTAGAACTTAAAAAGTCCCTTACCATCCCAAATAGTAAATCTTATCCTATCTTATAGAAATGTTTCAGTCAATTCTTTGGCTAAAATCCAATCATTGCCTCTGTAGGTCCAAGAGTTGAAGAGGCCATGTTGCGCTCAATCCGATGGTTGGACAGATGTATATCAGCCCATGCTAAGCCAACACAGCAAAACCTTTTTGCAATAATACAGGGTGGATTAGATCCAGAACTTAGAAAGACTTGTATAGGAGGTACTTTGTTTTACAAGCATCATCCATCATCAGTTCATCTGATTTATCTATTAATCCTAACCATTACAATTCCTCAAATGTTATTGGAGCATTAGCTGCTTTAATTTTCACTAATAATTCCATTCAGTTGTAATCAGACTGTTGGCTGTAATCAGACACTGGTAATTGGACAGTTGGAGCTTCCAATCAAACTGAGTCCACTCAGCTAAATTTACCAATCACAGAATTTATCACAATAACCATTATGATAGCAACAACCACTTTTCCTGAAGAACTACTGGGGAATTTCCAAAATGGAGGAATTTTTACTACAGACATTATCTCTACTGGAGATGTTTAATTCCTAAATGTATTTGTTTTTTTCAGAAATGGTAATGGTGATAATTAATTGGTAACAGGACTTTGTGTCATCCAGTTCTGTCTGCAATCATTTTGATACTTGTGATTGACAAATTGGACTACCACTTGGTGGATATCCGATTTTGTTAATTGCTCATATGATTACAGACTAAATTTGAGGAAACAAAGCCCCCTTACCATTATTGATTGTATCTGAAGTTTATCTGATTATTTGCAACTTAATTTTGGATGAAAAAGAAAGTCTGCCCTTGAGCCTAACTGTCAACATGTTGTCCAAGTTTATCCTGGCTCCCACAGCATAACAGGGCAGTGCAGGGGTAGTGCCACCTCTTCTGCCTGAGATGCTGCCCCATTGTACATGCAGGTCATACCTTTACCCTTCTATTTTGTCTGGTTCCTCAATATTTCATTGTTACCCATTTGTACTCCAGGGTAGGGCACTGTGGGTTTATAGTGTCTTGTCTAAGAACACACCAAAATTACTTGGATAGAGCTTGGATCTTGACCTTTCAGCCCTGAGTCCAAGCAGTTTGGTTAGCCAATCACTGGGCCAATGCAAGTAGCTAAATCATGTAGGAAGTACAGTAACCCATAAGATTGATAAAATTTTGAAATGTTTTCAACAGTTGCTATATGATCAAATTTATTGAATATTCATTTCTTAGAGATGGTTAAACGTAACACACCTGGTATTGCCATCGGTGGCCTTAGTGGTGGAGAAGAGAAGTCTTTATTTTGGAAAACTGTTACACTGTGCACAGATTATCTACCAAAGAACAAACCAAGATATCTTATGGGTGTAGGGTAAGGGTCATGTGCAAAGATTGCTTGGTGTTCAAAAGAAAAAAATTACTGGAAAATCATTCTGGCAATGTATCAAGATTAATTTCCTAATTTTTTCATATTCTGTTTTATAATTATCTCTTTTATTTTCTCAAGCTATGCTGTGGATCTTGTAGTTTGCTGTGCTTTGGGAGTTGACATGTTTGACTGTGTCTATCCAACCAGAACAGCAGTAAGTTGAGTGGACATACTGTACATTCAAGCATGACTCAACAGAGTGGAGTATTTAATGTGTTATCGTTAATTTATTCTAATCTAAATAACCTGTTTTATTTTTTGTAAGAGTCTTTTAAGTATCTTCTTGAATTTTTTTCCATAATAATGATAAGGATATTCTCAATGAAGAAAGATCAGTAAACATTTGCTGAGAATATAGGTATCAAATTTCATATAAGTTTTGTCCAGTCATTTTGACCTAAAGTGCATTACTTCTAAACTCTGACAAAAAAAAATTAGATCAATCAGGATAAATAAGATTAAAATAGTGTTGTAATGAGATCCAGTTTTAAAACATATTTGCTCATTGACCCTGAATCCAGCATCATATGAAGAATGTGCCTGCACAGTTGTGCTGTTATTTGATCATGCTAAGCCGGTCTCCACCCCTGAGTTGATACTAAGTTTCCTCCTCGCTCTTGCCCAGTAATAAAAAATAAATAAATCTTAGGGAGTGTTAAGTGTTCAGGGTTTCTTACTCTCAAAGCCAGATTTTGATTTTTTTGTTTTATACATCTTGCTTGTACAGTACTTGCCTATAATTTCCCTAACGGATCTTCAGGATTTTGAGGATCCTATGAAGGATTGTAATAGAGAAATATTTATTATGATCTTCAATACTCATGCCAAGATCTTCAAGGATATTTCAACCAGAATTTTGAAGATCATTGTACTGATAATCCACTCATAAAGCTACTGACTGATTTTTTTTCTTACAAATCCAGAGATTCGGCACAGCCCTGGTACCTTGGGGTCAACTTCACTTAAAGAATAAACAATATTCAACAGACTTTGAACCTATTGATAGAGACTGCAGATGCTTGGCTTGTAAACATCACACCAGAGCTTACATCAACTCTTTGCTAGGCAGAGAAGAGGTTGCTTGTCATTTGTTGACAATTCATAACATTTATTATCAGGTATGCTGAACGATGACAAATAGTGTTATCTTGTAAGCAGGCCCTCATTATTGGGGCTGCAGCACAACCATTCCTTTGCCTGCAGGAAAGTTTGAGGCCTTTTGCAAAGCAACAAGCAAGAGGTCTGCAAAGGGTCTGGAACTGATATTGGTACCAGACCCCAGCAAACTCCTCCCAAATAGTCTCAAATCTTCCAGCAGGGGGAAAAACATATATCCTGTCGCGCTAACAATGAGGGTTACAAGTGTGTGGGAGAGATTAAAAGGAAACATATGATGTGACTAGTTGCCAATGTACAGAACAATGAATTCAAGGTGTGGTTCAGGTTTGATTCCTGAACCTTTAATTATAAATTGGGTTGATTTTTTTCCTACTCTGAGGGTTCCCTACATGAAATTTTGCTCCCTTTCCAAAAGCCATTGTGATATATGGAGAAATTCCATCAGCTATTCTTCAGAGTAGGAATAAGAAACGTGCTGGTACAATTTTTAAATTTTAAAAATTTCATTCAGTAAAAATATTCAAGTTTATTTGCTTTGACTTAATTATTTTGGTTTCTATTTTTTTTCCATTTTGTTTCAGATGAAGTTGATGCATGATATAAGAGAAAGTATCAAGGTGGACAAATTTCCTGAATTTGTGCACAAATTTATGAAAAGGATGTTTCCAGATGAAATTTTTCCTGTCTGGGCCAAAGAAGCTCTTGCTTCTGTCAATATCTTCTTGAAAACTCAGGAAATCATCAAAAGTAAAGAAGATAAAGTGTGGAATCAAAATGACTCTGCCTCTTCTGGTGAATGTGATTCGTCAACATTAAATCTTAAAAAATAAAAATTTGCCCAAAGACATTGTCAAGTGTGAGTGATGTTTGACAAAGTGAACAACATAAAATACTTTCATGAACTTTGCTCAACATATTAGTAGTAAAAATTACAAAACTAGCTGCAATGGCCACTCAAAAATACCGAGCATCCCATCCTGGGAAACATAGGCTTGATAGTAGCTGCTGTTTGAGAAAAAAGGCTGTACACCTTCTGTAAAGGTAGAAGGAGACTTGTACTAAACTTAAGAGAGTGGTATCAACTTGTGTCCTTTAAATGTGGATGAAGTGTGGCAGTTTTGGGGCTCTTGAGTTACAAGACTTAACTGTTTTGTGTATTTTAGTAAGGTACAAAAAATGTTCTTTTAACCTTGAAAGCCGCCAGAAGAAAACAGTCTTCTCTATCTTGTAGACATATTTATTGAGCATTGAAGGGAAAAATTCTTCAATAGATGTAAAATATGAGGAATTATTTTAAAATACAGTTAGGAATTCAAGTGTATGTAGTTGTAGAACTCTTTAAGGGGCCACAAGTGCTGAAGAATGAACCTTGATAGGAGAGTAAATTTCTGCTGCCTGTCTGTTTCTGTTCACCCGCTCTATGATGCAATTTTATCTTTCCCTTAGTCTTTTAAACAAAGCTGTGATTCACAAGCAGCAAGGCACTGTCATAGGAAACATCATACAGAGATACCTTACTGATACCTCCATGAGTCTCTTGCTCGTTTCTTAAATTTCTCATAAAAGAAATCGTCAGTGGCTTTTTCAACTTTGTCACCAGTTCTCTTCTTGTTTGAAGCAGCAGCTACAGGAACGTCAGTTTCATGTGCTTTGCTGCTTGATGCTGATGAAGTTTCATCTGCCTTTACTGTTGGTTTTCTAATTACTTTCTCTTGTTCTTGTGCCTTGTCTCTTGCTGCAGCAGCTCTCTTGCTTTCTGCATCAATATTCTTTTGCTCATCATAAACTGGAAACACATTCACATTCACATCAGTTCTTAATATCAAGTGATTTTAGTGTGTTTGGCACAAAAGTCATACAGCCACTTGTAACCTATACAAATGGTTGTGATTTAATTTAAGCCTTGTAACACTGTTAACTACTTGGCTCTGGTCGCAGGCCCCCATTCAAATCAGCTTGAAGCTGAACTGGGCCAACCTGGTTGAATATTGCCAATAACTAAAATAACAATTGGAAAGTGTTCAATTTTCTTCTCAAGCAAAATGAAGCAAAATAGTTTCTTCACCAGACTAGCATTTTCATAATGCCCTCCACTGTTCACGCTACTGAATTTTGATGTTTTTCCCAATTGTCTAGACTGAAAAATCCAAAAATGTACAGGAAAGCCACAGTACATTACTTCAAATTTCACTGATCATTTAAGAGAGTCTATATTTTCCCTGTATTTTTAAAACAGTTACAATTTCAAAGCACTCCACTCATCAAAGTGTTTTCAGTAAGACTGCACTCATAACATTTTCAGCTGCTTCAGTGAGGATGATTGATAAAAACAAATTGGGAAGTTCATGTTTTTGAACAAAAAAGGCATTAGTGTTGATGGGGCCTCAGTTTGATAAACATGATTATCAACCCTCATGATAGCTTTGCTTCAAAATTGAGCTAGTAATTAAACTTCACCTTTTCAAACTCATTGCACCATTTAATTTACCTTCCTTCACTTTATATAGTTAATTTCTCCATGTTTGTTCTTATTCATCCTGTCAACATGCAAAAATTATAAATTGAAACATAGCTTACATCTACTATGCAGCATGAAGTTCACAGCCATGTTGGTTGGAACCATCTCTGTTGGTTCTTTTGATTTCTTGTACCTCTGTTCCTCGATCACAGCTTGTTTAGCTGCTTCTGTAGCCTCAATGTTTCTTATTTTTGCATCAATGCCAAGATCCACCTCAGGAATACCAGATAACATCTGATTTGAGAGCATTTCTTCTGATGCCATTATCTTTGACCTGACATTGATATGTTCTGGAACCTGATACAGCAAATCTTCCTTTGATTTTGGCCTGCAAAAGTTTACATAATCGGCAGTAATAAAAACCAGTAAATAAATAACACTCTTTCTGTGTTTATATGGGAATCCCTAAGGGGGCTGAAGCTGCTGGCACCATGACAGACTCCATTCCAATCTGACTGGGATCAAAAATGATCACAGGTCTTATCATAATATGGGATCCCAAACCTTAGCCTGGCAGCCTTTGTAAATAGCTTTGACATCCTTCACTCAAGCATCTGCCACACTACTTCTCCTACAGCCTACAACTTTTAAAACAAGTAAACTCAGTCTGGGAAAGATTCCAGCCACTGGAATTAAAAAAATCTGGAGATGTTTTGACTTTGAATCACCATTCCACTTAAAACAACCAAATCACTGAAACTTCGGCCCCAAAAAAGACATAACAACAATAATAACAACCATCCTTGGACCAAAAATCTCAGTTGGTCAGTAAAGAAATTTACCTGATACCCCGTTTTTTTTAGGAAAAATTATGATCCTGGTTTACCTTTTTTCAGTAAATTCAGTAAATCACAGAGGTCAGAAAAGAAAAATTGGGTTCAGGTACGTTTAAAAAGTGGTATGGACTGCATGATTTCAGCTGTTTAAAACAGAAATATTCTATGACATGTTGTGAATAAAAATGACCTGAGAACTTCCACTTCACCAAAAAATGGGGGTCCAGACCCCCAGGTCCAGACCATGTTTTAGTTGCAAACCACCCAAGCTAGTACTGAGTTGTGTACTTTTACCAAGCATATGTATTTCATAGTATGATGCTGAGTTAACCTTTCTGATACTTAATCTGTCCCAACCAAAAATTGACTAGATCTACCTTGAAATTAAAAGAACCTTGTAGAGAGACAAGCTTACAAAAAAAGCTATGTCTGAAAAGAAAATTAAAGTGCATGGTTCTCTTCTAAAATTCTACCTTCCTCACTGTACTGTTGAAAGAAAAGTTTGGCAGTGAGAAAATGAGTCCTTGGTTTGAGGTCGCAGTTGAAACATGCTACGACACTCTCTTGAACAAGCTGAAATAGGAATGAGGAAAGTGCTACAGACCTAAATTTTTCAACATTTTGAGACCAGAGACACATATTGCCCTAAAACTTGAAAAAACACTGGTCCACTTAGTTTACACTGGCAAAAATCTGAGCTCCATTCTCCTTTGTAGGCAGGTTTGCACCACTGATTTTTCCTTCTTATGAACTACCTTTAAATCTCACCAATATGACTCAGGAACTGTCGGCAATTTTGATTGACAGTTTTGATTAGGTAGAGGCACAGAGAAGGTTATCAGTTGTAATAGACTAACTCAGTCATTGCAATACCCCAAGATAAACTTACTATTCACACGTGCAAAGACACATTTCAAAATAAAAATTAGCTACCCACTTGTTTTGAACAGTTTTATCCAGTGCAACACCTTTCCTCTTCGCCATCTCTTCTTCAATGTATTTTAACATATGAGTATCTTCATCTCTTCGGTTTGTTTCAGCGGCAAAATTTGCTCCTAAGTTAATCGATTTCTCTTTGTCTTCCCCTTCTCTGTCACGATTTCTATCCTGGATCAAATCGTTCACCTGAACAAGCCCGCCTGTTTTCAGTTTAAAAGGATCACTCTCTACTTCTTCTTCTGGTGCAAGAGTTTTTCCAAGAGCAAGGGCCACAGCCGAAACTCCAGCTTGTCGCTTCCGAAATCGTTGTAGTTCTTTCCTTTCCTCTAACGCCTCGCTCGTTAAAGATGTTTCTTGCTGATCATCGTCACTTTCTTCCGCTTCGCGGCGCTTTCGATAGTTTCTCTGAGGCATTTTACCCGTCGAATTTTTTACAGATAACGGAGAAGTACTTTCATAAAAAGAGGATAAGACATAATATCTTTTTGTAAGGGATAAAACTTCGAGAACCTGGGTTTGACTTTATGGAGAGCCGCTGCTCATTGTTACCATGTATTCACAAAATTCAAGATGGCGGACGAACCGTTAAACAAGGAGGTAAACCGTGACGATAAAGATCCGCTGTCATTCTTTTCTGCCGGAGATTCCAGCTCGACCTCAGACTCTGAAAACGAAAGCGATGTTAGGGATGACGATCAAGACAAATTGAAATCCAAGAGCCCAGCAGGTAATGCATCAGCACTCAAGACAAAGCTTCCTTCACCGACGACTTTGTTCGCAACAGTTGGGAGACCAGCTTTCCTTGAAACTAAAGAGGAGAGCTACGTCGATTGGAACTCGCTGTCAAAACGATACGAACCAAACACTTATTCAGCTCCTCCCGTACAATTTCCTCCTGTGACGGAAAGCAGCAGAGATAGTGAAGAATACGAAGATGCTGTCATTTCTTCTGCTCCAGTCAAATACGGCAAGGAGATCTCTGACATACAAAAGCACTTAGTTGTTCACGAAAAAAGATCAGTCACTACCGCCTTAAACATCTTGAAAGAAAGAGGTAAGATACTACACCCAAGAATGGCTTGTCGTTAACGTTGCTATTTCTGGGACAAATTTTCTCTGCCTCTCTTGCAGAGAAGCTTTTCATTGTTTCGTATTCCTCAAGCTCTCAGTAACAAAAGCTTGCTTGTAAACGGCTCTATAGAGTGTGTGCCCTTTCTAGAGGGTTGAGGTAAAACAAACAACAAACAAACAAACAAATAAAAAAATAAGCAAAAAAAGTATCTCTTCTCATAGTCTTCTTCGCCACCGTCACTTTGACTCTCTTTAGCGTCGTGTAGATTGATGTATTCGAACTATGGTTACAAAGGAGACTACGCTTCTCGTAAAGGGAACAAATATTAGGTTTGGAATACACTTCTTATAAGCTGTTGTCGCTGAGTTTGTGTGTATGAACTTGAGAAGCGTTCGAAATTGTTCTCGATCATATGCTTGTTCGTGAATTGTTTTTCTTTTAATCAAACCAGCTCAGGTAAAAGAGAGAGGCGGAAATACTCATTGCTTTGAAATTTGTTCTTTTAGGAGAAAGTGCTCCAAAGAAACAGAAAACGGAAAATTTTAAGCAAAAAGAGAAAAGAAAACGCGATCAAGGACAGACTTCTAGAGGAAAGAGTTATGTGGAGGAAGAAAAGAGAATATTACGCCAAGACTTTGCTGCTGATTAACCATTACTCACTATACGCGGTGGCCGTCAGACGCCTGCTAAATGACTCGATAACCTTTGTTTCAAGTTTCGGAAGAAAAGATATCCCAAATTGCACTTTTTCTACCGTGAAGTCAAGGGTTACACTGGATACAAGCTTCGTGTGTGAAAAAAGAGATTTTAATTCATGAATCGAGATATATTACGTTTTTGACCGAAATGTAGAGAACCCTTTTACATGTGAAACACAAGCAAGCTTTAAATTTTAGTTCATAGGATACTGCTAAAGGGGTTCGAAACACTAGCAATAATATCCTCTCTCTATGCACAATCATTTTGTAATTATAGACACCATAATCTTCTGCTGTCGACTCTGTCCACTTTTTTTAATTCGCTATGAATTATAATTTGGGAATTTCAAATGCTCACCTCAGCCTCTGGATTCTAAGCCAGAATAAATTAAACCTCACTAAACAGATCATTACTTCTCGTCAATAATTTTTTTTCTACATTTTCTGCACCTGACAGTCCACTATGGGCGGAAATTAAGTAAAATTGCGTACACAATTAAAATCCATTCGAAGGAAAAATAATTTACGGGAGTTACGGGAAAAGAAAAAGAAAGCAGAAAGAGGAAAACCGCCCAAAGGACGAAGATGCTTGAGTAAGACATCATAACATGAACGAGTTGCTCAGCCTCGCGGTTACATCCGGTTGGGAAAGGCAATATCTCATGAATCTAAGACTTTTTGCACAAGTTCTTTCAGAATTGAATATTTTGAAAAAGTCCGGAGCTGACGGATGTTCTGGCGACTGCAGCACGCTTTTTGGGCTTTGTCCTGGGGGCGAGAGAGTGGTGGTGGTTGAGCAATGTGGGGGAAGGGGGTGGTGGTCATGAGTGACAAGCCTTCAATCCAACTTAATCAAATAAATCAACATATCAAATATAGGACCTCGATACTCCGGCTGAGTCCATCTCCCCTACCTCTCCCCTGCACACACAAAACCGCCACATAAGTCCCACCCCTCTTGTTTTCAACAGAACCTTATGGACACAAGGAAACAACTCGGTATTTCAAGCATCATCTCTTTTAAATGAAAGAAGATTGATAAATTTACATTGTGAAAAAGCGATGTTATCGAAAATAGAGGATAATATAATTATTTCCAAATTTCCTTACATAAACGTAGCAAAAACTGCTCTTTTTGAAGAAAAAATATTGTTTTTGCATATTGTTCAAAGGCGTATATGTAAATATACTTGTTTCAAATAGACACTCTCAAGAGACAACTCTCCAGAATCCAAATTAGCATATAAATACAAACCACGTTGAGCAATAGGATTGCTTTCCTTACACAAGTAGAGTTACAAACTTCAACTTTCTTGTAAAGTCCAGCAATCGTTTACAAAAATATGCCATCCACAATATAATACCTTAAACAAAAGAAAAAGAATCGAAAAACAAAACACTTCAATGTCAACGACTCGCAATAAAGACATTTAAGTTTTCAATTCATCAACTTTTTAGTTTAAACTGATATTAAAAATGAATTATAATGTAAACGCGTTATTCCAGCAAATCCTACGAAACTCAGTTTAAGTAGAATATGTCCGGCGAGCACGTTTCATTTTCTTTGCTTCGCTCGAGATTTCACCCCCACCCGGCTGACTGCTATGGCAAATATTTCCCAGGTAGGTCACCTCCACGTGTTTTCCTCTTTCTTTTCGGATCACAAATCGCACCTTCACGTTGCATTCTGGTCGCTTGCACTCCGCGCCTCCCCTGAAGAACACCGCTGAGTGGATTTTCCGAGAGTTTTCTGACCGCACGTGATTATTCTTGAAGCGCAAACTGCACCATGGGTTACTTTCTTTGACTTTGCTGAGGAAGATTCGTGTCCAGTCGCCACTCAACAAACGGCCACCGCTAGGGAATGTGTTAATTGGAATTCTTGCCCAGTCCTCTTTGGTCAGCTTAAATCTGGCTGTTGTTCCATCGATGTTCTTTCGGAAATACTTTTCTCGTTTTCCGTTTTCGTCATCATCAGAGGAATCTGAGTCATCTGAGTAGTCCTAGTAAAAATCAAATGTGTACGTGATTAAACAGTACCGCAAGGGTCAGTTCAGTACCGAAGGGGTCACCCCGCGGGAAGTCGTATTAAAAAAATAAAGAAAAATTAAATGAAATAAAAAAACAATATTCTTTTAATTTAAAACATAATAATGGTGGTACTAGAAGCTTCTTCTTGGTTTCGACTTGGGCTTTTCCTACCTTAAGTATTTCACGTGAGATCAACGTGAAAATCGTGAAAATAAAATCATGTGGCTCACTTAGCGATCGTAAAATTAAGTACAGCAATAATTACAAAACAAGTTGCGTAAATGACAGTTTTGGAAACCTCTGATATTGTGATGGCTGTCACATGCTCTGGAATACAGCAGATGAGAGTCACAATTTGTAATGAAATCGAGCAAATAATAAATAAGTCATGCAAAGAAATGATCCTCGCAGGGATATGACGATTTTAACAATTGCAGTAAAAAAAGAATGAAAGAAATCAAGCTTAACCGGGATTCGAACCCGTGCCTCCCAGATACTAAATGCGTTGCGCACTAGTACCAACTATGCTACGAAGCCACATGTTTGGACCGAGGCAAATTGAAAAAATATCAGAAAAGTTCTGGCCACAGGCACGCTATTTAGTACCGAGGATATCATGTGATTCATGTCGTGCACAAAGAAAAACAACATGTCAACAATATTGAAGATACGGATATTATATATAATATGATTAATAACATTTCCATACAAAGTTTAATTTTCTCGCAATTTTTTAAAAAACATTCTTACTTGTAGAAAAACGAAAAAAATTAAAATAATACTTTTAAATTCTATGATAAACTTCATCAAGTACATGAGAAATGAACGGTTGTTCTCTCTTTTTTACCTATTTCAAGTTCCATCAGAGAGATGGAACAAACTCGAGAACTTCAAGCTTTTCGTGGACGCAACAAATTAATTCAGCAGTTGGTAAACCGTGTTAACGTTAAAAAGTTAAGAACACTAGAACTAATAAAACAGTACTGATTTCAGTCTTATACGAGCCGAAATTATGTTCCTCAATTGTGCCACGAAAAAATACATCTTAGTATAATTCAAACCTCTGAGGTTCTCCCTTTTTGTTTGGATTCTTTATTTGCTTTCATAGTTTTTACAAAACAAGAAAAAAGTAGTGTAAAGAGGCGTTGATCATTCCATAAGGCATCATTTCGCAACCAAGTGTTGCGAAAGTGACAATTTGTTGCCACAGAAAATGAGAACAGAGCTCAATATGGACAACGGAAAATCAAAGTTAAAAGATGAATCCATTCTAAAGCGAGGTTCAATACTTATGTCCAGTTAGCAATTTAAATCCCTCGATCAGCAGAAGTAGTCAACACTTACCATAGGAACGTCCCGAGTCTGTGAATGCATCTTGTAATTTGCGTTGTCAACCTGCTGGTAGAAAAAAAAGAAAGTTTTTCGTAAAAAGCTATAGCAGAGTGTAACTTTGTTCTGAAACTTGGCATAAGCCTAAACTGACGGTTACAAGTAAGCATAGATGTTTTAGACATCACAGCAAGGATAGCTGTTTAAACATGAATGAATTCCTTTAAGACTGATATTGAACGAAGCACTGGCCATATCTTTAGCCAATTTCCAAGGGGTTTTTTAGCAGTCACATTACAATGAGTAAAGTCACATCTATGTGTGCCTGTATATATATATATGTGTGTGTGTGTGTGCCTGTATATAAGTGAATAAAAAATATGTTGCCACGCAAATATAGCAATTGAACCAATGATCAGAAAGAGTTAAGTAGTCTGAGTTACCTTCAATGGCAAATGAGATATTTCAGAATTACTTCTGTTCCAGTTCACAGGAACCATAATAACTGACGGGCGCTGGCTTTTCAATTCAGGATAACGAGTAAAATCATTTTGTGCATGGCAGCAACAGTTGCAATTCTGGGTCTTCTTCTGGTTGTTTGACACCAAATCGCGGGACTCTGATGGCCAGAATGGAATTCCTTGTTGCAGATCGAGCAGGCTGTAGTCACCATAGTACATTGGCATTCCATTGTAGTAGCTGATCTGATAATTTTCACTTTTCTTCCAGTCCCCATTTTGTGAGGTGGGCGTTTCCTCCATGTGGTAAAGTGGCACCGTAGCATTGGAACTCAGAGGAGTAGATGTGGGTCCCAAAGCATGGTTGGATGGGGCACTCTCAGAGGTACCATTCTGATAGGGAGGTATCTTCCCCGGGGCAGTAAACAGGTAAGCTGCTTTGGTTCCATTGGAACTCAACTGGTAAGCCATGTACTGGCTTTTCACTGGTAAGGTATCTGGCTGATGGGCCAATCGGTAAGATGGCGCCCTCTCTGGAGAACCTAACCGGAAGGCAATTTCTTTCTCCTGATGAGCCGTCTCAGGTGATGCTTCCCCGTTGAAAACAGGCGAGTTGTGGCCAGGAGATTGTTCTTCATTTTCCATCGGAGACATCTTGGGAGACATATTGGGGGACGTCTCCTCTCGAGAAGCTACTGAGTTGGGCAGTTTATCATTGTGATTGTGTACACCTTCAGCTGGTATTTGCTCTTCTGGGTTGCTATTATCAACTGCTGGAGAATGCAATTCTTTGCATTCGTTTGGTTTATCGTCGTGGTTTTCTATCTGATACACAGGCATCACATTCTTGTCAGCGATTTGATTAGATAGCGCGCCCTGAACGTTGCTGATCTGAATGTTCAGCACATCCTCTCGACTGCCAGTGTTTACTTCTTCAATAGCAGGCACTTCATAGATTGACTCCTGTGGAAGTGAAATCGTTTGGTGGTTGACCGTGCTGCACGCTGACTCAGAAATTTCCACTTTCACGACTGGCATCTCGCAAGCGGAGATTATTTCTTTGCAGTGCGGATTTTCAGGGATTTCTATCTTCACGCAGCCATTCGTGATGTCTTTCAGGGAATACATTTTTATTTCTACCGTCACCCACTCGGTCACGTGCTATCCTTGCAAAAGATCTGAAGTCAGCGTTCAACTGAAAAAACTGTAATCAAGAAGAGCAACGATTAATAAACGTCAATAGAAAGTGATAAACGGGAATTTCAGCAACTAAATGTTTCAACGCAATGTTGTCTGGCGTTTCTCGGTTATAATTATCAACGGCCTGGATGAAGCTACCCACCGGAAATTGTCAATAAAGATCCACTATTCATCAGCGAAAAGCATTTCGTAGCTGGTGGCTTTCATCGACAGACTGCAGAACAAATGTCACACCGGCCAGAACCTTTGTTTGAGCGGAATGTTTGAACGGAAAGGGGATCAAAGTCTTTGGGATTTAAATAGATGTGTTGCTCATTTGTCAAAAAGCCTTAATTTTTGGATTGAGAAATATATATGTACCAAAGACATGTGATGCCTGATTGAGTAAGTGATATCCTCCAGGCGGGCGACTTCGATCATGCACGCAACATGATCAAGGAAAATGAAGTGCGTGACATGATCTCACTAAGCACGCGTTCGATATCACACTCGTGGTTTGCCAAGATGCCGCGATCTTCGTAACCGTTGTTGAGCGCATCCTGCGCAGGAATCACCTGACGATCTGGCGTTCTTTGCTTTCGAAAGAAAACACAATTTAAACCACACGAGAAAAGTAGCCCTAGATATCAGATTTTTTCCAAAAGTGTAATTTTGTGATGCGAAATCACTCTAAAATGCAAATCTTCGTTTTTATCTATTTCAATATCCTAAGGATTGATGCAATATTCCTAATAAAAAAAGAGGTGAATATTTTCCTGAGTCGCCCTTGACATAAATTCTAGCGAAGCTTACCAATAAATCGTTTCAACATGAAGTTACGAATACAAAGGTTAAACATTTGCACGTATTAGAAAATAAGAAGGCTGAGCCGTCTGTGTTGTAATACGCAATTGAACGAGCGCTTGAGCTACACGCCTGGTAGCCTCAGAATATCCATTTTCCACTAGTGCACGAAATTTTTCTAGCCGTTGTTCTAATCACTAGGTTCTTGAAACTCGGAAAACATATGTGTTCGACTACTAACCATGGTCTTACGTTGACGAGATAACCGACAAATTTTCATAACGAAAAGCTTTTGACATTGTTTTCCCGTTGTACTTAAGTGCATTTGTGCTTTCAGAGCGAAAAGGGACTATGTTTGTCATTAGCTCATTCGTTTTCGAGCCACGGGCGTCCTGCTGCTGCCGAGAACCTAATTTATTTGAGACCGACCCCAACAGTCTAATTAAAGATTTTTTCCATTTGCCAATAAACTGGCGATTTAATGCTCTGCACAAGATCGTAAAATTGGTCTTCTAAGACAGCGAAACAATTCTCAGATTATTAGATTACAATTGTATACAAACATCGAATGCTCATACAAAGCTTGCATAAAATTTTCTGTGGGAATTCGGTGAATAATTTTTACTACTGGGATAAGCCAGAATTTGTTTCTGTCTAGAACAAAATGATTTTAGGATAAACCCAAGTTCAAATATTTCATGTTCTATTGAATAACACAACTTTTGATTCGCTTGACAGTAATAAACAAACATCTGACACTCTCTAAAAGTTTAGAAGGACCTTTCAAGGGGATGCGTTGAAAATTTCTCACTGCTGAGTATGAAAGTCAATTTAACGACGGCCGAGCATTTTGTCATAAGTTAATAAATAATTCTACGCTTTAAAAGATAACTTACCAAACCCGTTGTTAGAATAGTTATCAAAATGGCTTTAAGCTTTCAGAGGACTGAAGAATATACTTTGTTCCAAAGCAAGTTAAGACCTAAGTGAAAAAAAACATGCGATTATCACGAGCCCTCACGAGTTTCAACACGCTTTGTAAAGCGCCTCATCTCACTTGTCCTTTCACCCTTTTTGATTTCCACAAAGAGACACAATATGCACATGAACAGTAAAAAAATCGCGGTCAAGATGATAATGTCGGTGAGTTAATAAACAAGTAATTGAAACGAGAGCATGTAACTCGTTTTTTTGAAAACGAGCTTAAAATAAAGATCTCTCGTGACCTTCTTTCTCGAACTAGCTGCTTTCATTTTCAAAAGGCAGTGATCAAGGCGCTGCATTGAAAAGTTATATAACTATCACTGCAAATGTCTTTTTATATGAAGACGAGTAAATGATTTTTACTTGGAATATTCGGCAAAAGGAGCAAGTGATCGACATAGCAAAATTTTGGGTTCATTTTTGATGAAATAGTGGGTCGTTTGGACCTTTTGGAAACGCGGAGTCAATTACATAGGATTTCACTCCGTCGAAATAGATGCTTGCTTGATTGTTAAAAAACTAAAATATGATTGTCTGAATAAATTTTCAACGCGTAATAAGTCTTACACTTCACAACAATAGTTTATGGAAGAACTTATGGGCGGTAAGGCGTATCAATTCATTCTTTGTTGTCCAAATTGCACGTTTAAATCTTAAATTTCGTTTGGTTAGTTCGAAAATTTCAAGGCTAAGTTCCATCTATTTCAGTATCGGTATGCAAGGCACCTGGTCATAAAGTGCGAAGTGCTAACGCCGTTCAAATTTCCTGCGTCGCCAACAACTGACAAATATTAAAGTTGTCCAACAGGTTTAACTACTATTGTCCTTTTTATCCCTTTGTTATCGCTTGAGAACAAAACGAAAGCTTTACCAAAATGGTTTTGCGGGAGTATTCTCGAGAACACAAAACTAACTATGCCTTTTGCTGTTACGTAATTCTAGAAAGGAGGATTTGACTCGAACTAGACTAAACTCGCGGTGTTAATCATATAAAACCTTAACACGGGATGTCTCACGCGCACAAAGTTTTCAAAGAAATCGAGTTCGACATATGTAAATTATAGTTGAAAGCCACAAAGGCGAATGAAGTCTATAATACCTGGATCACGCAACAACAACGCCAAATAATTTTCGTGGAGAATCAACCATTGTACGCAGAAAATCATCCTGTCATGGTTTCCATGAAAAGGACACTCGTTCAATGTAGCAACCTTCCGATGTAGTAGGTTGCAGTTGTTTGTCATCAGTTCAAGCAAAAGGTCAAAATTCTTGGCCCAGGGGCATTTTTTGATGCGCCACTTGCTGCCCTGAGCGGGGATGGTCATACAATATACTAGCGCATTCGTAATTTGACGGAATTTTAAAATCTTGCGAACTCTGAGAAACCGTTGTTAGCTGTGGCAATGGAACAATGATATTCATCTGGTGACAGCTATCTCAGAGCCAATCTGTTAATGATATGCTTTTGTTTCTAACTACGACACACTGTTTAAAACGGGCAATGGTGATTAAGTGAAAGTGTTACAAGTCGGTCCGCTAACTTGCTAAAACTCAACGCGAGATTACTCTGCTCCGATCTATAAAGAGAGTGCCATTAACACGCAAGACCCGAAAGGTTACGGAGATGTCTTCACTTGACCCGACAGCGTGTGTGACAAACCTATTAACATATTCATGGCTAACACGGCTTGTGTTAATAATTGTGTTTCGCATCACAAAACAAAGCTAATGGCCACACCATATTTCCTACAAATAGCATCGCCTTACGCCGAAAAAGCACTTCAAAGAGTAAACATTCTTGTTACCTTCATAGTATATAATTTCTAGCGTGCTTTAGCCGGTTGGAATACGATTCTCCGAGTCATTCCACTACTACAAATCATTCTGGTCTATTCTGTGTCAATACTAACCATAAAATCATCTGAATCTGAGGAATTTTTTCGCCTTTACGTTCGCGCTTTTGATTTTTGCTCTCGACTAAACGACGGATTATTAATTTACAATTTCGATACCTTCGAAAGGCAAATTCCAAACTCAGTTTCGCCAATCATTTTACTGATCACAGCGTTTAAACACTTAGAGAATTAATTACGATTGCACAATTGATATCAAACTGTTGTTTGAAGTAATTCCCGTATACTTCTACCGGTTGGCAGTATAAATAACTAATCCGAGTCAGTTCGCAGACAACTAATTACTTCTAACATGCAAAGGATCACACTAACCTCTCATTTTGAAGCGCTACAGTCCTAGGTCTTCCATACACGGATCACTGCACTCATTCACCATGCTTGACATGATATTTAGTTAGCATGCGCGGTAGAAAGTGCGATAAGGATCTTGATCAGAGAGCGATACTTTACGGCAAAACAGTTCAGGGAATGTCAAATAAAAAAATTTGAGTTATGACAGTTGGTGATAATCATGGAAGAATTTTATTATAAAGAGTTTGTTTCAACTCTACCTCGTTAGAATCATCTTTCAGTTTAAAAATGGCCTTTCATTCGAGGATCAATATGTCACTTCTCCCTTCACTAATTAATTCTTATTCAGGATCAGTCAATCAATCAATCAACATAAGAATTCGAATTGTCACAAGTCGACTGTCTATCTAAATAAGACCAAAACAATTGTTAAACCAAATGGATTTTGAAAAAGTCAACACTGTAAGAATCAAAGAATCTGTCCGTGGGAACTCTACCGTTTTCAACTGTGACCTTTCTCCATCTTGGAGCAAATTACTACATCATCCTAATCTCTTCTTCAAGCTTGATACGCTGGCGCTGGATCCAGGCTTTAGTACATGCGCATGACCGGCAGAGGACACATGTCCCACCTCATGATCAGTCCCACTTGCGTTACGATTTAATCGTCATAGAAGATTGTATTTATATACATATCACACCGAGGAATCAAGAATAAAACAAAACAGAACAAGATGAGGTACAATTAATCTTCATACAACGGCGAACTTGAAAGCTTCTCTCACTCTCCAAGTTTATATACTGGCTGTGACCCAGATCCTTTTGACCTTTAGAGAGTTCACTTTAAATCCGATTAGGTTTTGCAGGGGTTTTTGGGATAGTAAAGCTAAGCGAAATACATGCGATGCAGCGGCCAAACCCATAGTGATCATTAACCTTGTCACTTCTGACGGACGCTCTCGAATTTAGTCGGAGCAGTTCCCATCGACAACATAATGAGCCCCTAACACAGGGTGGGACTGAGAACACGGTAAAATCGACATGCTTTTATCTAAGGGACCTGAAAGCGAAATCCTTATGATAAGAGACGGTGGCTTTTACAGACGGCCACGTCCGAAAAGGACTGATAATCATTGCTGATTCAAGTTGTCAAATGAAATTATATTTGTTCTTCCAAGTCAAAGAAAAGCCGCATTGATCCTTGCAAGTTTGAACTTTTTCTCCATTCTCCCATCTTTCGACCTCTTAGCGAGGCCGCTCAGCACCCAATATATTTGATTATACGGTTTACGCCCCGAGGGCAAGCGGCAAATGCAATGAAAATTTAAACTACTCTAGCAGGTCAATGAAATCACCTGATTTACTCAGTTAAAATGGTCTTGAACGGCTCAATAACAGAAGGATTTATCCACGATGCAAAGCTGAAAAGAGTCGGTTAGACTAAGTGGTTAGTGGTTTGGAGAAACAGTGCAACCATGCGTGATAAAAACAAAATTAGATGCGGTCGCAGCAAGTGGGAAACCATTTGCGCCTTTCTCTAGAGACAATAAGTAAGCTCTTCAATCGAGCTTAAAATTAATTGTTTCTTTCCATCTGCGGCACGTTTCCTCGAGCTAAGGGATAAATTAAATCAACAAGTGTTTTGTGAAGCGAACATCTGTCATATCTCTTATATGATCACTGGCATTTCAGCATCGACTTGATAGTGACGACAGTTCGTGATTTTGTTTGATAGCAGAGACCGGCTTAATAATAGATGCGTTAGACAAGGACAATGTTGAATGAAGAGGTCATAAGGTCATTTAAATTGTGTCACAACCACAATTTAAAGGCTATTTTTAAAACAGAAAACGTTGTTTTCTACATAAATCAGAAAGGATCTCCTTGTCAGTGGCAACCTAGCAACCCTCTCGCGTTTTCAATTGATTTTGGTGCGATCTCTTTTGCGTTTCTAAAGAAATTTGTATGCGGGAGGGCGGTCAAAACATGCCCGGAAGCAGGAATAAGTTAAGTGATTGTTGCGTCTACATAAAGGGTCTCACTGGGGTGGTGGATTTTACGGCTACCGGTTAAAATTTTGGTCATTTTACGATTAACAGTTAACCTCCTTCCTTTGTGATTGAATTTTTTTTTTCGGTTAACTTTTTACGACTAAAGGTTAAAATTTGTTAATTTTTACGCTTAAGGCTAAATTTTTTGCTCGTTTTACAGTTAACGGTCAACCCCTTCGAGGCTGTGTAGAGTATTGATAATGACTTATTTACAGTTGCCCAAGGTCGCATACTATTCGAGCCATGATATTACGAAACAAGCGAAATATGAGAATTTTTATGGGAATAAAAGGTGTTAAATTGTCAAAACACTAAGGAAAAGATATATGGGGGTTAAAAAAAATAAAAAAAACGGCCGCAAATCCGCCAAGAAAACTCCTAAGAAACCGGCTGTAGAAAGAAGGTTTCAATGTTGTTAACTGATAGCCGTAAAACGGCAAAGAAATTTATCCATTGGACGTAAAAATTGACAAATTTTAACCGACAATCGTAAAAAGGGTGAGCCCTAAAAAAATTTCAAGTGACAACAAGAGAGTGACATTTACCGTTAGATGTAAAATGGGCATTGAGACCTTAGAAACGAGCGAACACACACAGAAGCAAGGAAGATTTTTTCAAAATCATTCCTTTTTCAATTCTATACTAAATCAGAATTTTTCGTTAACACTCACGACCCTTTATTTGTAAATAAATCTTTACATTTCGCCTGCTATGTAACCTGACATAATCAAAGAGGCTCTATGTGGCTCTTTGTGGGCTATTACTAAGTAGCTGGATCGCAAAATGAGAAAATTATTCTTCGTAGCTCAAAATATTCAATCAAGTTATTAGCAAAACTTCAAAATTGTAAAATGGATTCGTCGCCTAACAATCTTGATCTATAGAGATAGATAAATCACAAAGCAAATATGACGTTACTCGCACTGCCTTAGGGCAAATTGGTGAATATTCAGGAATATTGCGTTACGCAGTTCGAAACTTCTGCCCTCTTCGTAAAAAAAAGCAATTTTTTTCTGGATATCAGGACCTGTAAAATTCGCAGACTTGGAGTTCTTACGAACATAACAAAGGGTTTGAAGGCATAAGGTGTGGGCAATTCATGAACGTAGATTGTTTACAAAGTTCATCTTACCTGATCCCGGTCGGTCAATATTGTGTATCTTTGTTAGTTTGTACACAAGCCTTTCACCTTGTTATTCCTCTTGCCTCTTTCTTTCGCTTAGGAAATGATAATTTACCACGGGAATTGTATGGCCCACTGCATTTACTAAGGTAGCATAGTAAAGACTAGTTTCCGCATGAAAACGTCATGCGATGTTCACAACCTCGAACTCTAAACATATGATTGTCACGTTTTGCAAACCTGAACACTTGCCCGAGAGGACCTGGATCTATAAACATCTGTTTCGCGCCATAAGATTAATTTTATGGTGCCAATGAATTGTTCTGCTCGATCGTCGGTTCGTTCGTTCTATTCATGGTGGTGACAATCGTTTTCAGACACGAATCGACTCTGTCATCGGCCTACATGATGTGTGTTCTACCGCCGAATGCTATGAATTTTCCAGCTTCAGTAAGGTACATTCAATCCTTGCTAATTCGAACCAAATCAGGGAAACTAAAGAATATTTTGGTACTAACGGGTGTCTGTGTGAAGTTGTCTTATTAGTGAAAAATACAGCATTTTACTGATGCAAGTATCGACAGAAGTAGAACAGAACTCAATAACCTTCAGGCCATCGTACACTGTTTACAAATAACAATGCAGCTTAGCTTCAGGGGAATAATATGGGGGAGTTTGACTGGGAGGGATAAACACCGGCTGAAAGTATAGAGATGTTCAAAACCGAAACAGCGGACAAAAGACGAATGAAAACACAAAACTACAGCTGGTCTGTGATATTTAAGAGCTGAAAACAAAGGAAAGCTAGAAAGAAAGGAAAAATAACAATTTGAACGTATTTGAGGGCACGTTTCTTGATTATCTGAGAACCATACACGCAAATGATGGAACCGACAGTTGTGACGTATCGTCTAGTAAGCCCAAAGGGCACTGAATTATTGGAAATTTTAAAAGAGCTTATTTTTGTGGGTTTTGTCAGGGACCAAGAGAACTGTCCGTATATTTAAACGCGGGTGTCCGTGAAGTAAGCTTCGACTGTACACATAAGTTGTAAATTTTTTGCCTTCGATTTACGATGGGCAAATCTGCCTGTTAAAAAAGGGATGGCAAAGGGAAAAAAGGTAAGGGTCATGAACTCGTTCCTAAAATGAAAAAACATTTACGTATTTTAAGAGTAAAGCACTGCAAATACACTGCCATTTTTCAGAAAATCTCGCTCATGGCTCATAAATGGAAATAATTGGCTTAAGACCATTTTTTAAGCCAAAAGTCGCCACAACGTCTTTAATTTGTTGAGAATCACAATCAAGATAATCGTTAAATATTCATTCTCTGTTCTATCACATTTCGGCAGTATCTTGCTTTCACCAAATTTACAAGATTCAGTTAGCAAACTCTCGGTACAAATGCATGCGTTTGTGTCTATTTCGTTATATTCTTTATACATCCAATGATTTTTTCCAGTTTTGGCAGATGTGATTCGAGCCAAGTTAAGAAAAATACATGTCGGAAACACAACCAGTTTGTTTCCTAACACTTGTGAGGCCATAACCCACTGTTGTGTTAAAAGTTTTAATGAAAGCCACATCCATGTGTTTGCCTTTTTCCAGATCACAAATCGCACAGTTTTTTTTTGCTTGTATATTATTAACTAGAGATCGCAAACTTTTCAAGGACTACAAATAGCATGAGCCCTAGCATTAAAAAAAATTTGCTCGTGCTAAATTATCCCAAATTGCACTCGGGATCATGTGATAACCTATACAAATTGTACCATGAAATTGGTCTTCGGTCAACAATCATTTTAATTGCTGGTAGGTTGATGGTAGGCGTTTAAACAAAAAACGTATCCTTTTTCTTCTTGAGGGAGGGGAAATTTAGAAATAAAAACCTTTGATTAGTTGGGACAATAAACCGCAAAGTAAATGTTTAGACAGAGGACCTTCCAAACAATAGAAGTTCTGTCTTTCATTAAAAATTTCTGAACCGCAAATATCGCTTTAACAATGCAAATCATTTGTTTCCCATCTCTTTGAAACTTTGTCAGAACAATCCAACTTCACGATGTAACACCTGTGAGTTTTGGTAGGAATGATTCGTTGACTCTACCGCGAGGTTGAAAATTTGATTGTATTTTTAACACGCCTAATTCTGCACTAAAAACTCTCAATTTATTTATATCAAGAATGATAACGTTTGGTTCATGAACGATTTTTTTCGTCAATGTAGTACAGTACAGTTGCTTGTTAATAAACCAACTTCAGCTACAAAAGATTTATGATAATGATCTTGCTCCACTTTTTAAATTATGTTTCTTTCATAGCTAAACTGCGAAAAATTATAATGACTGAGGAAAAAGATTGTCTTTGTTTGCAATGACAAAACAGACTTTCGTCCAAAACTGCGTTTATGGCTAATTAAATTACATAAAAAAATTACAGGGAAGATTGCGTGAAATGTTCTCTGGGACAGAAGATCCACTGTTTGCAAATGTGGGGCGACGGCTACTGAACTCTTATGCTTGGACTTAACTGGTTACTCATTTCAACGTAAGATTCTTTCACTGTGGCAGGCAAAACTCGAGTAATTTGCCCGCCACCTTGCCTTCTACGAAAGCAAAGATGGAGGCCCCTCTTAAAATTTGCGTCGCCAAACGCATATATGAACGGATTGAGTATGGAACTTGTTTGTGAAACACAATCAAATAGTGGTCTCAAAGGAAACTTATGAAATACTCCCAACCTTTTGATGGAATATGAGGCATACATATCCAGAATCATTATTGGTCCCCAGCTAATAAGAAAACTAAATACCACAAGGATAAACATTTGAATAGCTCGTAGCTTTGCTTTCGCAGCACTTCTGTTCACAGTGTTGTTCTTTTTCGTTCTTTTCCATAAGAATATGGTTATCTTGGTGTAGAAAAGTACAATTAAGAACAGCTGAAATAAAAAAGCGAACACGAAGTACATCGTGAAGGCAACTTTTCGCTCCCTTGAACCCGATACTCCAGGGACGCAGTGCGTGTGAAGAGGTTTGTATTCAAAACTTTTCGAGTTATTTGTCGTTAAATTTCGTGAAGAATATGGAATAGTTGGTCGAGGAAATTTGAAGATTTTAGAAGCTGGGGTGGCACTTGCGATGAAACCGGAAGAAATCAAGAAAGCATACAGCCAGATGGAAAATATTGTGAGATATTTTCTGGTGTTCATCGTCAAACTTTGAAGAGGATAGAGAATATGAACGTAGCGATCCAAAGCGATTGCCGTTAAGAGAACAAACAACACTGCAGCGCATGAAAATTGGGAAAATATGGCGATTTTGCAGTGCTTTGAACTCAGATCCTGCTTCTTGTCCTCTTTTTCCCGAATGACACTCACAGCTCTGTACACCAGATCTGTTATGGCCAACTGAACGATGAAGAATTGAGACAACTTTGTAGGAGATCTGCTATTCCTACATCTGTACAGACCAAAACAAACAATAACGTTTGCCACAATTCCCAGAGCCAACAGCGTCATGCTGATGATAAATAAGGTAGAAAAATACATTTTTCGTTCCATTTCCAATGCTTTGATTTCAGCATAGCGATCGCCACCCATCGGCCCAAAATATTTTGGGTGGAGACTCATGTTGAGTTAGACTTTTTCAAATCACCGACAGCTTTTTTATATTCACAAAAGTTGTACTGACAAAACTTAACAGAGGAGAACCGACAGTAGTTGAAATCGCGTTTTCTGTTACGACGTGTGACTATAGGCGTTACTTAAAATAACTGATCATGGTCTAATTGTTGATTTACATTAGGATACCGTTCTGTGGTTGGTCAGATTCCTGATTCATGATCAGGCGATGAAAAAATGATTTATTTATTTAGATGTATGTTGTAATTCGCGGCGAAATAAAGTTGCATGCAAATTTCAGTTAGCTAGCGCAGTTCCTTTGTACAGTGCGAATTTAGACGTAGATGTACCTGTTCAAACAGTAATTTCACTGAAAGTAACATGTCCTTTGTTTACAGCTCACAGCTGTTGGTTTGTTGACTTTCGTTTATAAACAGTCAACTTATTTTTTGCGAGTAATTTTCCTAAAATGTCAGGTAAAGAAAAATATCTTTGACTTGGGTGTGCTACATAATAACATCTCGTCAGTAAGTAAATCAAAGTAAAAAAGAAAAGGAAGGACATTAGATATAGTTTAAATAAATCCAACAAAGCCTGATAACTTTCAATTAAGTTTCGTGGATCTTAGAGCACGTACTAAAGTTTTTTTTCCTGACAGAAAAAATATGTTATCACGTTAAGAACGAGGTTTGAAAACAGTCTGGGTTAAAAGAACAAAATGAGTTCTTAATTTCAGATTTCACACTTAAGTTCAAGTTTTTGGTTAATTTCTCATTATAAGACAGGTCAAAATGAGTGCAAAGACTCTTAAGTTGAAAAAAAATTATGCCCCTCTCCTCATGCAACAAAATAAACAAAAAAGGAGTCGAGAAGTCTAGCCATCCTAATAAGCAATCGTGCAATAACATATTTTGATCAAACAATACCTGCACCACCACAATTAAATTCTTAGAATGTCCTTATGTTTAGCGGAATTTCTGAGTTTTGTATTTTTTTCCTAACCCGGTATGGTATATGGGATACCCCTGAAATACTCATTTAATGTTTTACAGACACCCTGAGAACGGACATCAAGAAATTATCTGTTCGTCTATCTTTCCAGGAGGAAAGTTTGCGTCAATGCCGTAATTTTCAGTTTGTTTTCGGCCTACGGATTATCATCAACGATCAACGCTGTTTTACAAGGGAGTTGTTGAAACAGTTTCCGGCATGTCCCAAACTTTGCTCTGAGCTTGGTATACGTCTCCGAGCAAATACTCCTTCGTGAGGAGATTGCTAAAGCATAGTAAAACTGTTTTTGACATTGTCACTAACAGTCGCGTCACTACAGCAGGACCGACCAGTTTATTGAGATCATTACTCTTTGTCTATTTAACGGTACTATTGCGAATCTTTTTTTTTTCCGGACAACTGACTACTTTTGACATTGCTTAAAAAAAATATTTAAAAAACTAGCTTGTTTTGTGTGAGCTAGATTGGTGTAACGGAGAAATCTCGAGGTGTTGGAGCTGAACTGAAAACACAGCTCTGGGAAGTTACAAGAGGAACTTTCTCAGGAGCCTTACAGTATCAAGAGAGAGCTACATAAATTGAGCAAATTTTACAAAATAGCTGAGAATCTTGCTTTATGTTATTTGATTGAACTATTGCCCAAACTATCTGGTGAGCGTACAAATTTCTGTCTTAGGTTAAGGGAAAACTACGCACAATTTCCTATATAGTACGTCTATATTTCAGAAGTCTTATTTTCCATCCGCATTCTCAGCACCTAGATGTCCGAAATTCTGTATCTACTCTTCCCACTTTTTTCCTTTACAGCGAAAACATGGTCAATTATCTTCGCCATACTCACAGCGAGTTACATGATTGTTATTTTTCAAGGCGTTTATCTTTTGATCACAACCACCTTTGACTTGGGTTTTCTAGTCTTGGAGAACATCTTTTCAAAATAAATAGTTGTGCGTCGCCTTTTTTGCGTGTGCGGTCTGAATCAGTGAAACACTTTTTCTTGTATTGCCCACGGTATGCCGCCCAACGTAATGTCCTCCTTACCTCTGCCGCTAATAATGTGAGACATGGTCATTGAGGTGGCGATAAAAGGAAACTAAATTTTTTTATTGTAAGGTGTTGAGTCTGTAAATTGCGATGTCAATTGTGCTTTTTTTCCGCGAATTACAAATGTTATAATTAATACTAATCGCTTTCCTTTGGCCATTTTTGATTGCATAAACAGTATTCCTTGCTCTTTAAGACTAATTTGCTGCTACTGCAATTTGTGTGTGTGTGTGTGTGTGTGGTTTTTTGTGTGCGTGTGAATGTGGGTGGGCCTTTATAAATGGAATTAAAACTTCGTAATATTGCGACCCCTCTCGATAAGCGGCCTTGTTGTTTTCGGGGAAAACAACGACAAACATGATTAAAAAATAATAATAATAAGTAAAAACATCAAAAGGTTAAAATGAAAGGGTTTTCTTTCCACGAAATTGGAGGGATCATGATTTTTATCACTTTTTAAAATTTTTTTCGACTTGTTTGTGTGTTTCTACCGTTTTACAGTTTTTACAGTACACTTAACTCTTTGATCATCATGGGATAGTGTTCATAATTTCGAAGCGCGTAACGCAGTGAGGAAAATTGCATTCAAGTACGATATGTATAAAGATTGGCAACAAGAAATCACACCTTTTCTCTCTTTCATATCCTTTTCTCATCGATAATTCTGAAAAAGGGACTTAAAGAAATGATTGAACGTAGCGACCATCGCTAAAATTGAATCATAAACTAATATCAGCTGTTTAGAAAGGACAAAATCAAAAATGAAGAGTCTAAGTGCGCAAATACTGCATTCCTAAATTCATTCGACCGTTTCTGAAAACTGAGAATATGAGGAGCCATCTTGTAGATGTCTATCGCAAAATTCGATTCAAAACTGTACTTTGCTGATCATACTGATAATAAACAGTTGTAACTATGACAATTAGGAGCCTCTGAATGACGTCCTGAAAACTATACCTCGTCTAGTCGATAGTGGACATATGGCGCAAATACGTGGAACCTCGTGAAATATTAAAAAATCCTCGTCATAAACATCGCGCTTTATGCGCCAAAGCCGCACGCCTGGTTTACAGTTAACTAAAGGGGTTAATATGATGCTCCACTTGTAATCTAAGACTTAGAGCAACATATTTGAATAGTGTGCTTTATCTAATTCGATTTTGCATTTGTGGAGTAGCGCCAACAGCTCTAGACAATATTTTCTTCTTGAAAATATCGAATTTTAAATGTTCCAGGATCATTTGCATGCATAACATTACGTAATCAAGCAAAATAGTACATAAGTTTTTTTTTCTGGTTTTTGAGGTAGAAAAACCCAGGAAGAGTTGTTTTATTTCTCAAGATCTCTTGTCACTGTATTTTAATCTGAAATTAACAGTTCCTATTCAACCAAACTGTCTGCCTGTATTGAAAACGAGTAGAACTATATTGACGGGGAAAAACACTCCCAATCACAATTTGGACAAGAGCGACAATTAAGAAAACAATCACCATTCTCTGAAATAAGAAAAAAATTGTCAGTAGAAGAGAGATTGTTGCCAAGGCAAACGTGATGACTTCTTAACCGCGAATCTACAAATATGTTAATTCTTGATGCGAAAGATGTCAAAACCGCCCATATATCTGTCATCTTCCACACGCAACACCACTCCGGTAGACTCGAGAATTTTTCTTAGATAAACTTATCCAGCGCTCTTGTATGAACTGAGGTCAGCCCATCAAAAGAGTGAATATTCCAGTTTTAAAGAGGTGAGAAGCCCAAATGTAAACGAGTAGGTGAACGTGGCAAACAAGTTAGCACAGAGGTGACATTAGTCAAGCCAGGCCTGAAGGCATTCCATAACGCCCTCTTGCATTGCCATTATCAGATTAAATTGAACTCTCGCGGCGGAAGGAAAGATATGAAAAGCAGTTATGAAGCTTAAGAAAATACAATGATAAGTAGGAGTACAACTTTTCCGATATTTCTGCATTCTATAAACACCATTACGGCTTGCTAATTTATAAGTAGTCAAATCCACGTGGAATGTGGAATACACAGGATTTATAAAATACACACGCTCAGGAAAAAAGGACGCGAAAGAAGGGAAAAAAATTAAATCGAGCGTCTTACCCTATTAGCCGTTCGCGGCACTGTGCGGCAATAATCTGCATCTCAAGTTAGAGTAATTGTAAGCAATCTGAGATAAGAGCATCCTTAAAAAAAAATATAGGCCTCTGGCTTACTTTTCACTGTATTTTTCACTGAGTCCTGCTACCGAGTTTTCGTCCTTCTATCGACTATGGTTCATCCCCATATGTTTCCAGCTTTCTCTCAGGCTCAACCAGTTAAAGATCTTCACTTACGATTCAGGATCGTGTACCTAACAGGATATTTGTTGTAGCTTGATGCCATTCCGTTTAGAACCTCATAGGTCAGGAAAAAGATCTTTTAAATAACCCTGAAGGGTGAAGGGCACTCGCAGTTGATGTAGTCCCATAAGTATCAGTTTGGTGTGAATAATGCCGCTGAATTCTGTACCAGTCGAATTCTGTACCAGTCGAATTCTGTTGATTTCTGAGATAACTAGGGGGGACCGTAATACCTCATGGCGTTACAAAAATCTGTGCGCGAGGTTGAAGCACGCAGGCGTAAACCACAATTCTAGCAGTGTTGTTAAACAAAATATCACTTTATTAACTTTCAGCAATAGTTTAAATGCGAATAAGTGCTCTCGTGCTCTTCCTTTGTTGACAGAGCCCTCAAAACTCGAAATGGCAGATATAATCCCACGATATATCATTAATTCATTGATTCTTAACCTAGCTGAATAAGCCGAAGGGAAAGGATAATATGTCCTTTCCACCCTATAAACTTAAAATAGATGTGAAGAATTCTAAGAATACTGAGTTGTAGACAACAATACCTTTTAATCTTCTGGAAC